AACAACCAACCTACCAGACCAACAACCGTCAAACTAAGCCCACCARCACAACCAACCAACCTTTCCAACTAAACATCCACCCAACAAAATAACCTACCAAACAAGATAAACCAACCAACACTTTACCTGATGGTGCAGTTACACCACTGTTACTTCGTCTCACTCCCACAGGCTTTTTCCTCACGTAACCACTTCCAAGAACATCTCCCGATTCCTTTCTCTCCTCTACYGACAAATCTAAAGCTACCTTMACAGGTGCTTCGCGATCTGCGCTGCTATATATACCAGATTTCGGCGAACTCAAAATATCCTCGCTCCTTCTTCTCGTTAGAGGAGCAGAAACTGTGCTGTAATTAGAMTCGYTTGCATCGAAACTTTGTYGTTTTGTAAAGGAGSMTGTTGAAGCMTCTTTWGACGTTTGCAAGGATGAATAGAGATCTGGTTTACTGCTAATGATATTGTCAGTACTGTGGGATTTTTTAACACGACAGTGTGGTATGTTTTGAGAGGAATCTCGTGTCGTTTCATCAGTTAAGTCTATTAAGCTATCAGATTTTACATTACTTTGTGAATTTGAATTTGGCAAATCAASCATGCTATAAGTCCCAAGTACTGCTTTCCCCTTAGGGAGGGTGTGGGTAACATCTCCCTTCTCCACGACGGTGGYCTGATTCACGAAACTTTTCAATAATGCTTCACTTAAGCGACGCGGAGCAACAGCCGGTTTTTCCAGTTTGACTGGTGCTGAATCAGCTACAACCGATTCGACTGTACGGTCCAATGATGATCGACCCTTTGGCGCCGGTACATTTCCCTTCATTTTAGGTACATTTTCAAATGGGTCTTTGACATCACTTTGATTTGGTGACCCTGAATCAGAGACACCAACAAGACTGTATTGTCCAGATATTGCTAATCCTCCACTAGTTCTTGACTGTTTCCTGGGATGGTGATCAGGGTCTTTTGTTTGCAGTGAAGGCGAGGAGCGTGATAGATCCGTCATTGACAGTGGATCAAGAGTTTTAATTTTTTTATCTAACGGAACTGAAAATAAACAGAAAATTATATACGTTATAGACCTCTGAAGCTTTTACGTCATGTCCCGTATACGCAATGCATTGTAGGATATGTTTGGGACAGAAAATGGCGGATTTCTTTTGTTTTCTCTACAAACTAATCCCACAATGCATTGAAAATCAAGTAGTGACGTAAAAGGTTCAGAAGTCTATTATTAATCAATATATCAATAGAATAAACAAATGAATTTAAAAAATGATGGATAATTGAAGAAAGTATGAATTAATGGACTTCAATACATTTTTGAAAAAAGGTTAGTGAATTAATGCAATACCAATCAAATGTTACATGAGGGTTTTTGCATTCACATGTAGWAGATTTAGTCAAATATTTACAAACCACTGTTCATCAAACTTTAATCTAGCAGTCGTTGTATTTTATAATATCTTTGTTCTATTTCGTTATAGGAGATTTTGTCTTTTAACTACTAAATGTAGTTAATCAATAAAACATCAATAACAATGTCAATCAATTCCATAGTCCTCTTGGGCTTGGGCATTGTTGGTCCCATGTCACACCCTCAGTGAGGGAGATTTGTTTTACTTCCATCCATATTTTTGTATCCTTTCAAGCTTGAAAAACAATAAGAATGGACGAACAATTGCCCTAGTTCATTATGACGTCACATCAAAACATTCTATTGTTTTAACGCTAAGGATTATGGTCGCCAGAAGGGATCAGAGTGACTGCATATCAAATAAAATGTACATGAACAATCATTTATACATGATATATATCAAAACACGATTCACTGAAGTTCTACTTTAGTCGACAATATAAATGCAGGTYCAAATTTCCGTTGTTTTTGAGCATCGTTATCCGATGTAAACAWACTGTGACGTCATAATGAAATAGGGMAATTGCCCAAGCTGAGGATGTCTATTATGATATTGCTATAAACATTGTACCTTCCTGATCTGACTGAKACGTTTGTTGTAAAATTGGTAGTGAACTGGGTCCTGAGTCAGACAAATCAAGTAGATTTCCTATAGGATAAAAACAACATTTCTGGTTTTTAAGCAGACTTCATCCAAGTACATTTTTGTAACATTTGAGGAATGCTTTACCTTCTTCAACTGGTTTTGCTGGAGCTGGCACGCTTGGGATAATTACATAATCTGAAGTCTTTTCTTCTTCCTTGAGGTAAGGTGGGGGGATAACATAATCTTTGCCGTCTCCATTTAAACTTGCCATTTTTTGGTAGCCAGGGTGGGGTGGCAAGGGTTTTGTTGGTAMTGGATGAGCAGCTAGTACAGGTTTAGAAGCTTTTTTGGAATGCTCACCCTTGTCAGGGACTGGTACTGATTTGGTTACTGGTGGRGGTATATTGACATAATCATCCTCTTTGGTATTTGTTTTTTGGTTTCCAATGGCAACATTGACATAGTTTTGTGGCTTTGGTTCAATAGTAGGTTTGGATGCATGATTAGCCATAGACAAAGGTAATACATTCTCATATCCAGATTGTGGTTTCTTTTTTATGGGTGGCTTTGTTGTTGGCTGTTGAAGATTATCCTTTGAGACATTTCCTGGCTGTTCTGGYTTCTGCTTGGCTGGTAAACTTCCTTGGATGTGATTGGATGTGTATTTRTCTTGAAGTCGGTTCTGGGGTACATCAGGTTGGCTGCGTTGAGGGACATTTTTCTGWGGTGCAAGGACAACATCTTTTTTTGKTGCCACAACAATGCCTTTAGAAGGTAATTCCTTRGGTTTTCGAGCAGCATTCTTCTCTTCCTCRTGCAGTCTTTGAATACTTCGTATAAATTCTACATTTTCATAGGTATTTTCACCCTCTGGCATCTCTTCTCCAACTGATACATTGACATATGTATGCATACTGGTTCGCTGTTTAAGCAATTCATCGCTAACAATCTCTTTGACAGCTTTGTAGACAAGTTCATATTGTTCCTGAAGATGAACAAGMAGACCCATAAACAGATTTAATACATGTAAACTGCATGTGAAATAATTTCAAGCAAAATCAAGCACTTTAMAGATGGTACCTTAGTTTGGACCATAGCTATTCTTTGTCGACGTAAAGTTGACACAATGTCAAACACACTAAAATTATCCGTCCGCTACAAAAAATTACAAGTGAAAACATTATAAATATTAATTAAAGACATTAATGAGGTTAGCAGTATGTAAGAGCTAAAGAAGGATAAGATCTTACCCCTAGTTTGATGAGGCTTAATGCATAGTCTAAAGCACAAATTGTTCCTGTTCTTCCACAACCAGCACTAATGAAATATATTTGATTTAGAGTTATTTCATTGAATCTTACTTTCATTTTATTTTATTTGTTACTTTCATTGTATTTCATTGAATCTTTACTTTCTCTTTCATCTATACTCCAGTTTCGAATTCATAGCGAATAACCGCTGCTTTATTTGACAACAGATTCTCTTGAGCAAAGACCTTACAAACACAAAAGAGAGCATGAGAAAATGTCCTTATTACAATAGACTTGAAAATTTGCATTTTCCCCGAGTTGAGATTATCCCTGTATTCCCATAAGACCTAAGGTATGAGCAGGGTTAGCCTCAACTCGTGGAAAATGTAGAATCTTTAAGGCTATTGTATTAACAACATTTTCTGGTGCTTTCTTTTGTGTTTGGTAAGTTTATTGCATAATAGAATCTGCTGTCAAGTAAAACAGCGGTTATTCGCTTTGAATTCGAAACTGGAGTATTCTCACAGCTCACACCCAGTAATCCAAGAATACAGGTGACAATAGAATATTCTATATAACCATCAACTTAAGGGTCGAGCACTACTGTCAGAACAAAGCTTGAGATTGATTGAGACAACAAAAACAAAGAATTTTTAGTAGGATTATGTTAAACAATGCCTATTGTTCTGGACATCCTTGCTTTTTGTATCGCCTGTCTGTCTTTGTCATTTCATCAAATCACAACCTTCATTATAACAGTAGTGAACAACTCCAACTTAAGAGATGACATGCTTTGAATTGTTTCACTTTTTGTTTGTTTGTTTGTTTGTTGTTGTTTTTGTTGTTATTCTTTTGTTTGCATTTATGCTATTACATGTAAATGTTAAATTGTTATTCTTTTGTTTGCATTATGCCTACCTGCAATGTACAACTACAGGCACATTGTTATCATTTCCAACAAATGCTCTGAATGACATGGTAAGTTCAATCAAAGGTGTCGCTGAACGTGGTACGTCATGATCTGGCCATGCAGTGTAATGAAACTGGGTGACTTTTAATTCCCCCTGACAGTTCAAAGAGATGTTCAGACATTAATGGGGGAATCACCATTCTCATATTATTTTTGTGAAATATTTAACATATACTTTACTTGAAAGAACTTACATTTTCATCTTTTGCAGACAGAGTTCTAATAACAAACCCATCTCCCATTTCTTCTTGTGATATCTAATGTCAAAGAAAAATGACACAAAATTTAACTAYGTACATCAAATTTCTTATCATTAAYACAYTTTCRAGACACAATATTTTCYACATGTAAAACTGTTACAACATGTATTATACTCAAATATTTWAAGTACTTACCAAAGACACTACACAGGAGTCAAAAGTCAGCTTTTCATCGGGTTTTTCAGGCCAATATCGTTTACACTTGAGCTAAAGTTAAACAAAAGAAAAGATGCTGTTACTGCATGGGAACTCCATGAACTAAAATCTATATCACTATCTATACATTAAATAGCTTACATCATGCACTACCTATCAAAACTAGAATGAATAATTTCAAAGAAATAAACAGTTACCTTTCCAAGCTCATATTCCCTACATGCCATAACAATAACCTGTAAATATAAAATACAATTTATTTTATCAATAAACTAATGGTTCAAGCAGAGAATCAAACACTAAATTTAAGGACTTTTCAAGGTGATCAAAATTGTATTTTCAAGGAACATCACAATCATGCTAATTGTACATTTTTACCTCGCAACTTCAGCCAAACGTAATAATTCAGATATAGCTAGCACTTCATGATATAGATCTATCTTTTTCAAGGAGCTTTCAACGACTTTTTCGAAATTTTCACATTTTCAAGGAGTTTCAAGTGCCCTTGAAAACGAGTTTTCAATTCAAGGATTTAAGGACCCTGGTCTAAGAACAGCATTGTTTCTTTAAGAGATCCTCAATCATATATATTGAATTAGCACAATGTAGACTTCCTTTTCACAATTTAAAACACTTCAAAGTTTATAAAAATATATAATACCTGTGTTTGATGTGATAGTATCATTCTCCAGAAGTCATTAACTGTTGACGGTARAGGTCCTTGTGCAGCAAGATAAACAACTTCCTCTGTAGGACCCTAGAGTTAATAAAAAAAGATTAAACTTTCAGAAATAAAATGCAATATTGTCAACTCTGTAGTTCATTCAAAGTTGKGAAATACTACTAAGCTAAGTTTTATCCATCATTTACTGAGACAGTTTCCTTTTCTTTACCATTTGSTGGTCATAATATCTTCTATTATATTGTTTTATACCTTGATATAGTTTCCATTGATGTAATCAGATCCTTCTTTTCCTTCAATACCAGGCAAAATAATACGAGAGTAATCATCTACCAAAAAAAAAGACAGTGCACTTCAAAAAGGGGTTGGTCTAAATCTTAGTTTCTTCTGGAAAGGCTTAGAAAAGATGGATGTGTGTAAACATTTCAGTATTCATGTAGCTTATGTTTGTGTTGTTGGTAATGTGGATCAAGCATTTAGAAAATTGTAGAGAAATCACTCTTACATGGCATGATATCTTTGTAGCGGTTTTTKGGTCTRTTTACATCCTTTTCTCCATGGTGTGTGGAGTATTTTGGGTCCTTTTTTCTCCTAGAAGAAGCTTCTTTGATCTCCTAAATAACAATGGGAGAATTATTTTACATGTTGAGATTCCTGTCCCTAATTAGTGTATATAAAAATAGCATTTAAAACAATAAACAACAATAAAAGTGTGTCTGAAAACTCCACTAACAAAGTTTTCACATCATATAAGAGATAATGGTGCCGAAACCTGGGATTGACTGAACCAGGAAGAGAATATTATCAGTTTTCAAGATACTTATAAATTGTTCACACAAAATACTTAAAAAATATACAAACAAACCAAGGATCGATATCTATTTTTCTATTTGTAATATTGTGTATAGAGTTGATTTTTGTGATGGCATGGATCACAGCACAGAGACAACATATCACAGTCACAGGAACCTTGCCTGGAGGTGATTCCAAATAAAAACAATGCTTCCTGAATACATCACCACTATGGCATTGTTACAGCATCAAAGTGCCATGTGTTTTGCTCGAGTTATGCAAAATTTACTCAAAACTATGTACTGGGTATAAGTTGCCCTACTGCAATATTGCATGCATCAACTTAATTTATGAAAAATAAGTCATACAGAATTATGCTAAAGGTGATTTGTTTCTTATTGTGTTAACAACGTTATCTAATAACGCTGAGTACTATTTGTTTCACAAGCTAAGAATGTGCACTCTTCAGTAGATGGTTAAAACATATGCCGGTCTGAGCCACTCAAGTGTAAMACACTTTGCTTTCATTAACTTTCAAAACTACATTGAAATGAAAAGGAAATATCCAATTTTAGTTTCATAACCTGTGGTAAGCTGAGAGTATTTAATACATGCATCAATTAGGCCAAATAGGGAAGGAGAGAAATTACCTAAAAATGTATAAGTGTGGTAAGGTCAAAATGTTTTGTATGTATAATTCAAAGTACATGAATAAAGTCCATTGTACCCAAGCGAAACAGCTTAAGGAAGCAGTCAATAGATACCAATCTATGAAATTTTACWGAGCCAAGARCCTTGCATGCCTTATRCTTGCTCTRAAGCAATGGAAATGTGAAGAAACTGTRTGCATTCCAACACACTTCCTATTGTATGCACAAAAGCCACCATTTAAGAACATAATCGTCTATTAAAGTTGACACTTTTGAAAAGATTAAAAGAAAGAAACGACASAGCAACTTAAGCTTAAATCATGTATTCAACAAGTTGTCTAAATGATGCATGAGTATTAAACATGAGCTTATACATATTTTTTTTAGTATACTCAAACGGTACATGTAGGTTATTGGTCGAGAGGGTATAAATATTGGTGTATTTATAAGATTTTGCGTGTATTTCCGGCTGGGATATTTGAAACACCTTACACAATAGTTTTTTCCGATTAGTTTGAACAAAGAAAAGTARATTACAGAAAGGCTGATTGTTGTATATAAGCTGAAACAGCGTTATATAAATTAGTAAATTGTAAGATATTCAGCTTCATTTCTGAAATCACAAACTTGTTAATAAATTCTCAGAATGAAATTAAGCTTGGATTTGACTACTGTATGTCAAAGAAGTTATGAATTAGTTAAAATAATTATGGCAGGAAAACCCAGAAAAAAAGCCCTTTAAATTGTCGTATATTGAGAGACACTGTACCTGAAATTCTTTTGCAAAACCATTCTCTCTTTGARGGTTGTTTKGTGGCTTGAGTGTTTCGGCATGCTTYAGAAATCCTCGCAAACCCTCGATTGCAGACTTTTTAAGCATCGTGCATAAACGCACAGAAGAATTTCYACTGCACTAGAAACATCTACGCCAACACGCCATCATTTCTGCCTGCCTTTTGTTCTATTTAAGCCAAAATTTAGGGCTCAAACAGGAGGCTTTCATGCAAAGTGCTCCCTTACGGAAGTCCTGATGTGTTGTTCTGCGCAGTCACAACCTCGCCCGTGAACCTTTGCGCTGTGAACCGGAAGCTAGAACTTTCCCTAAAACACAGGAAGCCCATATTCAGGCATATCAATCCAACAAACGACGCCATTTGAAGTGGAAGTTTGCAGTCGATTTTAGCCCGACTTTGGACCGTTGATTTCAATATGGTATGACTAATAATAAATGGTAAGTACTATTTCAATCAGATCAATATATTATCTTGTATTCTAGAGTTATGTTTACGTTTGAAACGATTCTTGAATTGAGGATATGGACAAAAAAAAAATTAGCTTTAATTATTAACTTGTCTTTCCAAAATAAACGTAAAATTAGCGATCATTTGTTTGTATATACCCCTAAATGTGTATTTTCCRCACTTAAGTTTGTTATTTAAAGATTTTTGAGGGGCTCCATGTTGAGTTTTGYTGAATAATTTGAGGAATGTATTATTTGTCAACACAACGCTTATGTCATACCCACCACAGGAATCCCAATCTTTGATAGTAACATTGGCTTCTCTTTTTTATCCATTAGCTGGCAACTATGTTGCCAAAAAGATTGCCAACTTGTTTTCAAGGAGGGAATCCAATGAAAAGTATAAAGAACAACATGATGACACTACAGCACCTGTGTATAACTGTCCTTTGAATCAAGAACCGTCTGAAAAACAGACAAAGATTAGCCATGATGAAAGCCAGGATAGCAATGCTGCTACAAGATACAGACATGGAAACGAGCCACAGCTATCCTCCACATAATCAATCTTTGCACTTTTAAATGTATGCATGCACTATACACATATTATTTACTTCATCGTTTATAGATTTTGAGTCAATTGAAGAGGCTCAACCAGTCCACGGTAGCCTAAGATCCAGATACAAGAGYTGCACTTATAACATTTATTGCACTATAACAAGGACAASGATTGAATTTAGGCACTGTTTGGTTTCTTTCCCTTGTTGCCTTGATTTTCTTTCTCAGTATCCCATTGCATAACTACATGTAACTAACATCCTATTATTATTCAAATGTACTGCACTTTAAAGAGTAAAATAATATATACCATAATATTACACATATTGATATGTAATGTGAAATCTTCATTTCATAGATTTATCATACATTGATTGTCAATTCAAGTTATAAAGCGTTAAAGTTTTGTAAAAGTAGCCTAAAAACTGTGTATTATGAAGACTTTCATTCAAAACCYATTGTTAGGACGAGTGTTAGTTGGAGAAGTAGTCAAACAGACACAGCTCAGGAACTTCAACAAATAAAAACTGCTTTGAGTAAAASTGAAACTGATTATGTTGTGCTTTTTCTCAAATAATTCAAGTATACATTGCTGGGCAGCCTGAGGATCCATGTCAGCCTGTGGGCGCCGGTAGTGCACGCCACAGCYCAACACCTATTTTCCGGTATTTTCTCCATTTTGGCTTTTTGTGTAGTATATATCCCCCCATTGATGATACTCGCAACCTCTCCCAATAAGGAAAACTGTAGACCTTCCCATTCAAGTGATGGGGCATGCGTTCGGCTATGCAACCATTCCACTATAAATCCTTACCTAATAAGCATTTCAGAAACCATTGCAAGGACGCTACAAAAACGCATTAGCATGTGTCAAGACCTTAAATTAAGATTATTTTATTGAAATTCAACTTGCTTGAGCCAAATATTTGTAGCTTGTATTCTCCTTTATCCATTTAATTCCATTTTTCTTTGCAGTATTAGTTTTTATTGCGTTCATATTTTTCAATTAGTAGGGGGTGGATCGAAGAATGAAGGCGTGCRAGAGGCTACCACGTTGTTGGAATATATACATAAAACGTTACCGTCTTCATTTTTAAGCCCAGTTTTCAGAATGTTTGCACAAAATAATGCATATGATATTGGTCATTTTATCTTTAACGGTAGTCAACAGGAACATGGATACTTTAACACAATACAACAATTAATCTGGTCCAATTTGAAGGCGCGGGAAATCTGTAATTTTTGGGCCTCCTGTGCTATCTATCACACGTGACCACGTCAAAAAGAACCTCCCATCTTGTCAATCAAAAAACAAAACTCTTAATATTGATTGGCTGTAAAAACTGGTTGATTTCTTGAAATCTTCCGATTGGCTGTTTCCATGGTGATGCACGTGGGAATCACACTGGCACGGAAAGCATGCCTTCAGCTAGCACCGCCTTCTTCTCATTCGGCGCCAAAGCACAAGAGAGGAAGGATGAAGGTAAGACTTCGCAGTCGTTTTCTTTAAMAAATTTTCACTAAGTTCATTCTTGCTGCCTTATTTTACAGTTTTCAGAAGGGTTTTAGACGAATTTTTCAAATGGGAGCTGTGCAGAAGACGCTTTTGCTCTAATTTAGCAAAATTCTCKCTTCAAGTTTCCACTTCAAGTCACATGGCGAGAGCAAAAAGCYGCTCTTAAACTCGAAAACACAGGTAAGAATCGCAATTCAACAGCACTTTTTATTTGAATACTTACTATTTCTTAGTCTCGTGCAGGTTTATGCTCTAAAATGCGTTTTTTATGACTTTTTTGGCTACTCAAAACATTGCGACGAGATGTGCAGCTTTGCACCTATCTTCTGCGAAGTTGCCACCGAAGCCGCTTTACATTTTGAAACATTGTACCTTTTTGTATTAACTCTTTTGTTATGATATRATCTATGAATTACTTATTTATCCTTTTTTTCTTCAGATAGAAGTGCTGAGCTGCTCCAAATTGAAAAAAAAAGTCGTTACCCGACGAGTTCTTTTGGCGCGTTTGCCGCGACGAAAATATTTCCATTCAACGACAAGGTACGCATTGCAAAAGTCCATAACAAGCAAACGAAATATTTAAAAGTTTCTTACGGTAATCTTTTCTCGTCTTTTTTATACAGAAAATGAGTATTTTTTAAATTCTTTGAAAAATTGAGGGGCAGGACTGAGATATTTTTGGCGCCTTTTTTACAATATTTTTTCTAGTTCTTTATTCAAAATTCTTTGACGCTTTTTATTATGTAGTTATTTACTTCCACTTTATTGTTTTATTCTATTTGTGTTTTATTCTTAAAGGAGTTGGTATTTTTTAAATTTTTACTTCGAAAAATGGACGTGCCGGACTGAAAGGCAGAAGAAATTTTTGGCGCCTTTTTTGCAATCTTTTTTTTTCTAGTGAAGCTATTTATTTCCTTTATTGTTTTGTTTTAAACTGATTTATTTTTTCTCAGCGTATTTTTATGCGTAGGGCGTCAAGTTTTTTTTGTTCTTTTTCCACTTTTTTCTTGAACATGATTGCAATTGGTGCACTAGTTATTTTAAAGCTATAKAGGACTTGACTTGCGCTATAGGAAAACAACATTCACACTTGAGAAAGATTTTTTTTCGTTTATCTTATTTTTTATTTTTGTTTCAGCTTTCATCATCCACAATAGAGGTTCGCAAGTCCTCTCGAGTCCTTCACAAACCGAAGTCATCATCTAAACTACAATGCATCATCGATATCACAAGGCCACAACAAGACAATAATTCAAGTCAACGTTGAATGAAGACGACGATGCGTGTGTTTGGACAACACATGCTGGTATATCATAATATAAGGGTCCCCTCCCTAGACTTTTTAAATTGTTTGGCATTTCCGATCGTTCACGTACGYTACCACAATTTTTTCAGTGTGCAAAACCAAAACAACTAGAGTCGGCTTTTACCAGGACTTTATCGTCACCATTGTTGGAACTGAGGAACTCTTCGGGTTAGGCTTTATAAATCATTCTTGTTTTTTTTTTCCTTTTCAGCTTAGATAGGTTCGGTCATCTGTGCTCATTTGGCTGTTGAGATTACACTCACACATGTCGACTCTAAATTTGCGCAAAATTTTCGACTTCCACTGAGCACAATACGGCTAGGTATTCAAGAGGAGTTCCTCTTTTCTGTAAATGGTGAACTAAAATCATTTCAACGTGATTCAGATTACGGCTCAGTTTTTACGCTTTGCAAATATACTTGGTTGGTATATTTGCATGTTCCTGCAGGGTTTTTTCCTGCGTTTTTTTTTGTCCTGGTAAAAGATCTTTCATGAGGAATTGATGCTTGTCTTTTCCATTCTTGAGGCTGTTGACACTTGACTCTGGTTGTGTTGATCCTTGGATCGGTGCACCAGAGGGTTGCCTTGTAAGTACTCTTGCATTGGCTAAAGTAAGTAACAGTTTTAACCAAGTGTCTGACAAGCGGGGGTCCTATGACTATGACTGGGGTCCTTTGTATGGTGGGACTAGCCCTTAAGCTATACATTGGACCTCCTCATTTATGGACAATACGAGAACMATTCCTCGAGAAATTGGCCTAATTACCAGAGGTATGTGCTATAGTGGTACATACCWMTGGAATGCAGGTTACTTTTCTTAAAGTTTAGGTGTCTATAAATAGTCTCTCCCAAATTGATGTTAATTGTTGATATTTGCATTGCATGTTTCTATGAGTTATGAGTATTATTATTCGATCATGTTATTATTCATGTTTTGAGTTGTATGCATGTTATGTTATCATTGCAATGAGACAATCTTAGGCCGTCAGAGTGCTTTCAGTTTTTGCTAGTTCATATTAATATAGCTTGCACGGCTGGAATGAGGTTGATCCGCTTGGATTGGCATGGCAAGCCCTGCTTGACGTGCTGGTACAGGGGACCCTTGTCGAAGCT